TTTTTTCTATAATTTTTCTGTGACTTTTATTTACATTAAGTAGTACACAATAAATTACCAAAAATATTTTCACCAAAATTTTTAGCAAAATGAGTTCTTTTTTGGCATCAAAATATTTCAAGTTTTTTTTTTTTTCGTTGATACTAATTCTTTTTTTTTAAATTTTGTTTTCCAGAAGGAGCTAATGAAAGCGAGTTCTCAGATTTCAAAGATGAAATTATTCTGATGAAGAGTCTTGGATATCATAGAAATATTGTCAATATGATTGGATGTTCTACTAGAAATAAGTCATTATGCCTAGTTCTTGAATACTTAGAAAATGGAGATCTACTCAGTTTTTTGAGGCAGAATCGAACAATGGTAGCTTTTACAAATTAGCTTTGAAAAAAATAAATTTGACAAAAATATATAACGTCTATTTTCTTTTATAAAAAATATAAGCAACTAATTTTCTGGCATCTGTTTTTTTCAATCAGATATTTTCAAAATGTTATCAATAATACTTATTATAAAAAAAGTAAATACATAAACAGAACGTGATTTAAAAACAGAACACAATTGAAGATCTGCAAAAAAAATTGTATCATTTTCATTTTTTAATCATTTTTTTATCTGTAAAAAAAATTAAGTTGTATTCTGATGAAATGAAAGAAAAAACAGAGGGCAATTAATTTTATGCAAATAATTATCTAAAAGGTCAAACATGATTTTTACTAAAGTACTTATACTTATTTATTTTAACTTTATTGTCATGTAATTTAATTTTTTGTATTTTTGTGTAATTTTTGTTTATGTAATTCTTATATACATGTTAATATACATAGATTTTCAATAATTCTGAAGAGAATAGCAACAGTAACTATGAAAAAATTGCTGATAACGGAAAACTTAATAAAAAGTTAACCATCACACCAGTTGATCTTCTTTCTTTTGCTTGGCAAATTGCATCTGGAATGGTTTATAGTTTTTATTTAAGTCTGTATTAATAAAAGTTAAACTTTGTTTTGATTTAAACAATTACTTAAATAATATTTATTCAATTTAGGAATACTTAGTTGAGGCAAAATATGTCCACAGAGATCTTGCAGCAAGAAACATTCTTGTAGGAAGTGAAAAAAATGTGAAGATATCTGATTTTGGACTAACTAGAAAAATAAATGATGAACAAATTTACATGAGCAGAATAAATCGTCGATTGCCAGTAAAATGGATGTCAGTGGAAGCCATCTTTGACCAAAAGTTTACCTCTTTTAGTGATGTGTAAGTATTATAATTAAATGTATGTTAGGTGTACAAATATATTTTCACATGAAAAGATCTAAAACCTAAACCTTTTAGTTGGGCTTTTCAGTTCAACAATTTATATTTACAAATTTGTAATGCACACTTTAAAAAATAGATTTCATCATCAATTAAATTGTGCAATTTATAAATATATATTTATAGCATTTGCATTTATGGCACTGTTTGTTTTGCCTTTTTATGTGTAGTAGATGGTTTTTACTGATAAGATAAATTCAAGGGTTGCTTACTGATAAGATAAATTGAATAGTATTTGCAATACTATTCAATTTATCTTATCAGTAAGCAACCCTTGAAGCAGGTCATTATTGCTTATGATATCAAAAAATACCTAATAGCTGTTTTTTTCTAAAGCTGTATATAAGCTGTATATAAGCTGTATATAATTATAATTAAGCTAATAGTATATAATTATAATTAAGTAAATTTCAAATCACAAAAACTAAACTAAAACCCTATATTTTTTTACATATAGGTAATGTAAAACAAAATCTCAGAAAAAATGTAGAACTAAATAAACCTAAAACAAAGCTGGAACTAAATAAATGTAAAGCAAAAACAAAGAACTAAATAAATGTAAAGAAAAAGGAAAAACTAAATAATTCATTAAACAAAATAAAAATCAGTGTAAAAGTTGCTAAGTTACTCCCTAAATTTTTAAGTTGCCAAGTTACTCCCTAAGTTTTTAAGTTACAAGTTAATCAGAAATATATTTTTATAGAATATTTATTTCTTTTTTAGTATCAATATTAGGTTTATTCTATAAGTCTATTATTTCTGATTTTCTCGAATTTTGGACAAATTGAATTAGCAAGGTTTTTTGCAAGGTTCTTGTTAGCTTTCTTAAGGCAGCTGTTCATGTACGAAGTTTCAGATTTTTTGCTTGTCAGTTTTTTTATAGCCATTCCTTCTAAAATACTCCAAAATTATTTTTATGAAATTACATTTTTTTATTTGTTTTATTGTAATATCACTCTGTTGCCTAGTGACAACTTCGCTGTCATTTTGTTATCATTTAATTGTGTAGATGTTTAATTATGTAGATATATTATTAAATCTTAGTATCATGAATACTATCTAAATGTCAAGCAATGGATCAACCTGTTTGCCAGCTTTATCAGGTAGAACGCAACTAATGGAATCAAGAGATGATTTTAATGAAAAGTTCTTAGCAAACAATTCAGCTTTGTCTTTAGGTGAGGTGACAAAGTCTGAACCATACAAGAGAGGTTGAATCACAGATTTGCCCTTGTTATTGATACTATTAAAAATTCTCCAGAAGTCACAAAAGCCTAATTTTTGTGATGAAATACAATATTTCATGACCTGAGAATAGCGGGCTTTGGCAATAGATAAAACCTTTCACAACGGTTTTTAGCAGTAATAAACAGACATCTTTTTTCTGGAGAATTGTTTTGCTAATAAATATGGAAGCAGCGGTTTCGATTGGCAATTGCTGAAACACAAAGTGAGGAAAACCATGGAAAAAAGTCAGGCTAGACCTGAAATTGTCAAGAGGGAACAAAAGATTCCTTGCCATCCTGAATCCATGAAGTAATGTAAGGACCAAATTTGTCAACAGGAAGACAAAAGATTACAAAGGACCATTACAAAGAAAATCACAGAAAGAGTCTCAGTCAGCTTTAAGGTAGTTGTAAGAGGTACAATAATGTACTAATGTAGGGGATTCAGATTATAATGAAGAATGAAATAATAGTTTTAGAGAGATTAAACCATGGTCAGAAGTACTTAAGAGTGAATGTGGAAAAACTGAACACTGACTAGGATCAAAAACAAGACATAAGTCAAGTAGAGTGATTCGGGTTGTCTGGAAAACAAGTTGGATAATTGACTATTTGATTTAGGGATTGAGAAAGACAAAAGTTGTGGGCCTTAATGCTTGCAAATTCACTGGCACTAGAGCCAAGCCATTCAGTGTGAAGAGCATTTAAGTCAACAACAACAACAATATTGACTGATGGATAAAGAGATATAGCTTGGTCAATATAATCAGAAATAACATCAAGAAGAGTGCAGTCTTGAGATGAAGGAGAGCAATTTAGAACAAAGAGAAAGGGGATAAAGTAAAGTGGTGCTAAACAAAAGCTCATAAAAGAATAGTCTGTGGATTTAAATCTAGTTTTCTGACAATTGCGTGAATTCTTACGAATGTAAATGCCCAGGATAAGCATGTGACTATTAGAGTCTTTACGAATTAACGGAAGATAACCATTAACACTGAGATCACAAGATAAGACAGCTGAACTCAAATTAGTCTCACAAAGAGCAAGTAGGTCTGGTGAACTTTGCAAGACATAAGACTCAACAAAATAAAAGTTACTTCAAAAACCACAAATATTTGTGAAAGATTTAGAGAACTTGGTGATGACAATGTTTTTTTGTGTTTTACAGTTTTTGGTACTTTATTCGTTTTTAGATTTGTCAAAGAACTTGACTCAAAGCATAGATAGTATTCAGTACACTGTTTAATAGCCCAAGCAATTGCCTCATTACTATTAATGAACCCTAAGTTGTAACAAAGGGCTCCAGTGTGGCCTCGGCAATGCACAAAAAAAGTACTGAAATACGATTGTGCAACATTGTACTGTTAATACTTTGATATTTTTCAGCTGTTGATGGAATCAGCCTCTCTGAGAGCTACCACAGAGTTCGTGAAACCCAACTACCAGCTGGCCTCAGAACCATAAAACTGATTGTTAGAGCTGTACCCTCATTAGGAGATAATAGAATGGTTGCCTAGTCATAAAAACAGAGACACAAGCAAAACCCATGCATTGCGTCAATAAGATCCAGCATTATACATTGTTTACTAAACTGGAAACAATGTATAAAAAAAAAATCTGCACCAGCCTAATAGATGAAGAAGGGGTGCAAGGCTGGTCAACAGATAGAATCTGTTTACCCCTTAAGTCGTTGTCTAGGAGGCCTTCTACAAGACAGTAGTCTGATGCATTTAACATTTGCCTGAGATGAGTGTTTTTATTGAGACACTATCTCTAGCCTTTATCCAACCAAATTGCCCAAATGCAGGGAATGTTTTATGTTGGAGTTAGCAGCAGAACATGAAGCAGATTGTACTGGGTTTCCATGTTACCAGTAGCAGAATAACCTGACCTGACATAAGAATAACCTGACCTGACATAAATTTGCTACTTCCGGTAAAAAGTTATGAGTTAAAAATGGAAATAGTGAACTATGGGCTGAATAAAATACGCTAATTATTCACTTGGTAAAAAAATTTATTTTTTACAAAGTATTTTTACCAAGAAAATTTATTTATTATTTATATCTAAACTGACCAATTTTTTATTCAGCTTTTAAATCCATTATTATCAAATCTATTCAAATATAGAATATACTTTGAAAAAACTTGCACGCAAAAACAAACAAAAATAATACACCAAAGACCAAGTAGCGCTTGCAGCGGCAAAAATAAAAAAGTGGCAAACTTTCACTCAACAAAGCTTCTCAATTATTCAGCATACAAGTAGTAACTTTTAATAGGCGTGTCAACAGCATAGGTCAAACAATTGGCAGTGGTTCAAACATAGGATTGTTGCAGCTTTGCAGCAATTGTTTTGGATCCAACATTGACACCAAATACCAAAATGCAAAAGAGAGTAAATATGAAATATTCAAAAAATTGAAAGATGCTGACAGCAAAAAAGCAGCAAAGCAAGCTAGGAAACAACATAAGTTTGACTTTGATAATGAGATAGATAGCAGATAAATCAATCAACAACAGCAGCAGCAAACCAAGTCAAGTGTAAAAAGCGCTGTAATCTTTTAAAAATAGTCAAAATAGTAAATGGTATCAGTGCAAAAATTCAAAAGTTTGGCTTCGTCTAACATGCATTCCTAGGTAATATAATAAAGGCACCTTGTGTTATTGCACCAAAAAACACATGTAACAACTCAACTTAACCTCCAGAACCTCTTTAAAATTAAACATCATCATGAGGGTAGAATGAAATAGTTTTTTTTTTCCAATTAAATAAGGTTTCTCTAAAACTTAAAAAATAAAAGAATTTAAAATGTATTTATCGTAAAATAAATAAATTTAAACTCTTAACTATTTCATTTGAACTGCTTTTACTCTATTTTTGCAATATATATATATATATATATATATATATATATATATATATATATATATATATATATATATATATATATATTATATATATATATATATATATATATATATATATATATATATATGTATATATATATATATATATATATATATATATATATATATATAAAGTTTAAAAAATTTATTTATATATATATAATTTTTTTTTAACTTTTTAAATTATTAACCATACAAAAAAGTAGAAGAGTTTCAAATTTTTTTATTTTTTTTAGTTGGTCTTTTGGAATTGTTTTATTCGAAATTGTAACTTTAGGTATGAACTTTTCTAATTACTTAAAAAACTTTTTTTGAATTTTAATCATAGTTTTATATTTATTCAGAGTTTTACATTTTGTAACGTTAAAACATTAATTTTACTTTAGTATTTTTTTTTTAGTTTTTTGAAATAAAAAAAATAAATTAATGAAATACATTTTTTTTTTTTTTGAGAGCTGGTAAGGGAATGAATCATTCCCTTAGCTTTTTTTAATAAATTATCTTTATTTTTTCAAATTTCTTTATTATCTTAGTTATTTAGTTCTATTTATTTATAAAAGTGAAAAACAAAGTTTTAAATGAAAAAAAAAAGTTAATGCATTTGGTGCATAAATTCAAACGAACTTTAGTTTAGACTTCGACTAAGTTTTGGCGGATTGCTCACATATATATTTAATATTTTCTATATTAATTTGTACAATCGGATTTATTTTTGATGCCAGTTGTCAGTTTGACTATTATTTGTATAAATTGATTTTATATATATATATAAATATGTATATAAATAAATATATATATATATATATATTATATATATATATATATATATATATATATATATATATATATATATATATATATATATATACATGTACATGTACATATACATACACATACACATATACATATACGTATACATATACATATACTATATATATATATATATATATATATATATATATATATATATATATATATATATATATATATATATATATATATATATATATATGTATATGTATGTATGTATACGCTTTATTTATTAAGAAAACGTATTTTTATGGTAAGTTATCTGAGGAAATTGATTTTTATTTCTCGTGTATAGGTGGAGCACCATATCCTGGTATAACCAATCGTCAACTTCTTAATCTACTTAAGTCTGGTTACAGAATGGAAAAACCAGACAATTGTGGAGACCAAATGTAATTTTTTTTAACTGAATAGATATTTGTGTATAATTATTATCTACTTGCAAATATAATAAAATCTAGGATTTGTTTGCAGTTTGAAATTATTATTTTTTTTTCATTTTGACAGTTAATTTAATTTCTTTTTGAAGTAAAAACAACTTTTAAGTTAAAATTTGTTTTAACCATAAAACTGTATGTGTATGAAATAATATATTGTTTTTATTAAAAAAATTTAAATACTTAAACGAGACAGGTGTATGATATAGGTATGAAATTATGCAAAAATGCTGGAATGTTAGTCCACTAAACCGTCCTACGTTTACAAACTTGCGTGAACACTTCGAGAAGATTATTGGACAGGAAACTAGCTACTTCAGTCTTGATATTGACGAACGTGCTAATTACTACAACGTTGCTTCTTTTAAAAGTCTTTCTTCAGTATCAGAAATCGTCGAACCTGATGAGGAAATCAAAAATATTACACCGTGCACCACAAAACTTAAATCGAACTCAGTTTCAATAAATAAAAACTGCGACGAATTCACACTATCTGAATATGTCAATTTTGAGAATTTTCATAAAAATGGTATAGCCAAATTTCAGCCTTATGAAATGTTTACGTATAATGAATGAATTTATTTTGTAAATATTTAGAGTATGCATTATTTATAAGCGCTTTTTAATACGTGAAGTTAAAACTATATTTTACAAATGATTTTTATAAAAAAAAAATTTATTTTTCATATTTAACTTTTTTTTTAATGTTGATTTTAAATTGAAAGCAAAGTTTGTATGTTGTTGATCATTTTTTATATTTTATTTACTTATATAACTACGTTTTTCTTACGATGTACAGTAGATATTTTTACAATCTAGAAATACATAACTCAATTTTCGTTTTTATTTGTGTATTCTTTACGTAATTTACGTAGTTTTAACTTAACAAACCATTTTACACGAAAATAAGTTTTAAAATCTGTTTTACAGCACCGAAAAATAAAAAAATGATTGGAATCATCGATTACCTGGACTATACCAAATAAAAATAGTTTTTATTTGGTTTTGAATTAATTATTATGTTTGATATATATATATATATATATATATATATATATATATATATATATATATATATATATATATATATATATATATATATATATATATATATATTTGAATCTACTTTATGTTCAATTGTCTGAATTTTTAAACAACAAAGTTTTTTGAGACAAAGTTAAAACGGCAATACTGGTAATAACAAATAAAGGACATAGAATTAAAGACAGTAAACGGTTTATTATCTTGCAAAAAGCATGAGATCGAAAAAAATGTTGACTTTCAAAATAAACTAATAATCCATTAAAAATAAACAACAATTATATTTTAATGAGGATCTAAAAGTTTAAATTAAGTTAAAAAAAAAGTAATAATAGAAGTTATCATAAAACATAAAAAAAAAAAGAATTTCAAATTATAATTTATTAAAATATTACCAAGGCAAGTTAAAAATCAAAAAAAAATCTTAAACATTTGTAAAGAAAATCCATCAAAGAACTACAAACGAGCTCAGAAGCTACTGGAATTCCTATACCTACAGTTGGAAGAATTGTAAAATGGTATAAGAAGACTTTATCTGTGGATCAAGTTAGAGGATGATTTTTGAAAAAAAGTACTGGCTAGTCAATAGAGAAAGAAGTAAAAAATACAAAGTTTCAGACTTTCTGGTAAGAAATACAACAATTACGACTTTAATTCTTTACAGATTATGCATTCTTTTATGTTTTCATTCATTGTTTCTGGAAACTTGAGTCAAGTAATTGTTGTATTTCTTACCAGAAAGTCTGAAACTTTGTATTTTTTACTTCTTTCTCTATTGACTAGCCAGTACTTTTTTTCAAAAATCATCCTCTAACTTGATTAATTAAGACTTTCCAAGAAATAAATACCCAAATCGTTTTGACAAACAAAGTTAGACTGCCAAAACATGAGCACAAAAAATTTTAGCTCAAGTTTTGAAAAAATTAAATGCCTGTATTTCATTGGACGACAAGACTTAAATAAAATTTATCTAAACTTTAGTCAACAATCTTGTGTAATATATTATACTTCAATTTTCTAGGTAAAAAAATTTCAATTTTTAGTTGCGGTATAAGCAATAGTTATAAATACAAACCTATAAACAAACATGACAAAAAATTACTTTTATAACAAGCAACTTATAGTCGCGGAAAAATGAGTAAAGCATTTGTGACGTCATCAAATTTGACATTAATTTTGTACCCAAAAAACTCAATATACTAAATTCCACACAATTCCGGCCCATCAAAAAGTATTGGGGTATTGGCAAAAAATATTTGCGTAAAAAAAGTAAGACTATTAATTCAGTGCAAAATATTCTGAAGGCATGGTCAACCATAAGCAAGAAAACTGTTGCGCAGATGTTAATTGGCACCAACACCAGTAATGTTCGATTGTTTTTAGAAATAAAGAAAAAATTTATAACTAAAAGTTTTATACTTTTTAATTTTTTAGAAAAGTTTGCTAAAAACTGTTATTTTGAATACTTTTCAAAGATTTTCCTTTCTCCTTTTTTTCAATCTCATGTATTAAACTAAGATTTAAAGGTTGTTAGTCTATTTTAATTAGTCATTTTCATAATTAAGCATAGTTAATTCTATTTTTTTTATAATTTTTAAAATTAGGCATTTTATTTTAATATTGTGTTATAGTGACTCTAAGTTGAAGTTTACAAAAAATAATAAATTACGGCTATCCAATGTGGGCGCAAGAGTTGTTTTAGACGTTTAAAATATATTAATACGTTTTTAAGACCTTATTTTAAATATGTCTTAAATTCACTGAAGAGCTTGACGCATTTCAGGTTAGGTTGCAAATAGGTCGTTTTCAGAATAATCTATTTAAAAATCTCGACTTTTAAAAGTACTTTTTTGATGATTCCAATTTTTTTTGAAGCTTTGTTAAGACATGCTCTTAGTTGGCTCACTTAATACATACAAAACGACTTCTGGCAAGTTGTTTATGAATATCAGAATCAAAATAAAATTTACACCAAATCCTAAGGAATGGTCTGTGTTTTAAGACTGGTCACGTGTTTTAAGACTGAATTTTAAGATTATAGTTATTGGTAATTCAGAATAATCTTTTAAAAATGTTTTTGGTTTTATAGATTTAATATTTTTGATTCATTTTTTCCGATAAACTTTTTTTTTTCTGGCATCATGATTTTCAGTGGCACTAATTCCACTCACAAATCTTTTCTCATACATCGCAGAAAATTTTTTTCTCCAAAAATTTATATTGATTTTGTATTTAATACAATTCAAAATACAAAATCAACATCTTGCATTAACCGTTAATGTACGGTATTCTTTGAGTTTTTTGCCACGAATCGTCCAAATCACGATGATACACATCGAACATAAGTTGGTCTTAACTGAAAAAACTTTGACAGACTTTTAATATCTGCATGTTTTTGTTTAAGCTTTAATTTAAACACGAATTTGTTTTAATTTAAACACGAGTTTGTTTTAATTTAAACAAGAATTTGTTTTAACTTAAACTTGAATTTGTTTTAATTTAAACATGAATTTGTTTTAATATAAAAATGAATTTGTTTTAATTTAAACACAAATTTGTTTTAATTTAAACGTGAATTTCTTTTAATTTAAACATGAATTTCTTTTAATTTAAACACTAATTTATTTTTAATTTAAACGTGAATTTCTTTTAATTTAAACACTTTTATTTTCTCCATAAAAAGTATAGTCAGAAGTATAGTCTGCAGTTTAACGTAATTCATCGTCGTAATAAAATTCGACTTCATCGTCGTAATAAAATTTATAATAAACACACTAATCAATAAACTCTGAGATTGTTAAATTTAAGGAATAATTTGATTGTTAAATTTCATTCAAAAAACAAATCAGAATTTTTGGGTGGTTAATAATTAACATTTTTTATATACTTTACATTAGCTTGAACATTTGTAAATGAATTGTGATTTGATTTCACAGAGAAACTTATGACTTTTTTTTGTTATTAGGATTTTTTCATTTTTTCAGCAACTTTTATTCTTTCAACTGCAATTTTCGAAAATCTTGTTTCCATCTTTAACGTTAAAGTCATATATTTTCTTTCGTCAGGATTTCTTTTCATTTAAAACTTTTTATTTAGAGCTTTTCTTTGTTTAAATCTGATGGTCAATAAACACATTTTATTTACACTTATTCATGCGAATTCAAACAAGTTTTTAAAAAACTTTTACTATTTAAAAATATTTACATTGTAAATATGTAAACCTTTTTTATTTTGATTAAACAAAAAACCAACAGATTCCTTAAGAGATTCCATAACTTTGAACTCACTATAAATGTTTTAAATAATTTCTTCTTTAAGTGTAAAGCAGAAAATAATATTGAATTTAGAACGCAAAAAAAGTTTACGACTTAACTTGTTTTCGGTAATCTGCCAATGGCCTAGCTACAAATGCTGCCCACCCCCTCCACCAAGATTTTCATTAGGATCCTTTTTTAAAAAAAACACCAAGCATTATTAGAAAAAAAAAGGTCCTTAAAAGCTCCGTGGGGTCCTTTCGTCTCCGGGTCCCCCGTCCCCCAAGAAAGTGATATCTAAAGGATCAATAACTAACTTTTACCAATTTCTTACTTTGTGACTCACAACTTAGATCTGTCAGAGCCGTTTCTCGTACTTTTGTAAGCTTTTAATGACTGGCATCAAATATATAATTTCTGATTTTGGTTGGATGGAGTCTTTATTGAATAGTTGAAGGAAGTGTATATAGAATGTCAAGCTAATTGTAGCATTCATGTTTTACATCTTGGTGGACATACGTCTCAAGTCAGTTTGGCAGCTGTATTGCAATGTTGGAAAAACAATATAACCTTGATTTTCTACCAGCTGATTCACCTCATATTTTTCTGCTAATGGACAGAGGTATCTATTGCAAGGTTAAGCAAATATGAAAGTAAGTTCATATCAAATATAACAAAGACACAAAATGTAATAACTTAGGTTAATAAAGTTTTGCTTCGTTACTCAAAAACGTTTCATTGGCCAACGTCCTCAAAGCAAACATCTACAATAAAGCCTTTAGTATAATCTTTAGACTGTATACTTTCTATTCAAGGTATAATTTGCATTTTTTGTATGAAGGGCACAATATATATTTTTATTCTGGCTTTTGCTTATAAACCCAATAGAAAATCGAAGGACGTTTTGACATTTATAGCATTGAAAACATTTAGTATAAAAATCTTTTAACTGATATTTTTTGGAACGGTACTTTTATTTTTGCAAAACGGAGAAAACACAATTTATATGTCAAGGTGTCTCGTATAAAATGATGCAAGGCCAAAATTTTCTGATATTTGGTACTGAAATAGTTATTAATGTTCGTTATTTGCTCACAGATTGGTATTACCCTAAAAAGTAGATCTAGTTATCTAGTTTATTTAAAAAAAGGTTTAACATTTTATTTTTTTTATTTTTCAAGTTAATTGCAGCATGCCTCTGTTTATGATAAAGAGTTTTTAGTTCATTTTTAGTTGACTTCTACTCTTGTAACAATGTAGTAATAAAAAAAATCTTGATCAACATTAATTTTTTTATAAATATAATAACTAGATTCTACACAGAACTTTCTGAATTATGTTCTTCTTAATAGTTGAATTATTGGTAACCTGAATTGTTTACAAATTGTTTTTTAAAATAATGAATAAATATTGAAACAAAAAATTTCAATTTTTTGATGGTTCTTTACGTTTTTAATTTAGTCTATTTTTTGTTTCTTGTAGGCAATTTATACTGTTTTATTG